TACTTCAGGCCACTTCAGCTGACTGCTATCTGCAGTTCGGCGGTTCTAATCTCACCGGCTCAAGGTTGACTCAGGGTTTCCATCCTTCCGAGGTGGGCGAAATGAGGACCCGGATTGTGGGGGCGATATGCTGACTCTGTAAACCGCTTAGAGAGGGCTGAAAGCCCTATGAAGCGGTATATAAGTCTAACTGCTATTGCTATGCTCCATTACAGTCATAAAGTGAGAACTACCTGTAATTATTTTATTTTTTTTGTACCTGATTTATCCCCCACTTTTCTATTTGAATTTCTGGCATTTTTCCAGCTAACAACGAGGATCGCATCCTTTAAAATCAAAATGAAATTGATATAGGTTTTGTTTTTTTTGGAGACTTCGAAAGCTTGGAAAACTAACCTGCCTGTTGAGATCAGATCCTGCAGAGATTAAGAGGCTGACCATGTCCAAATCTTTCCGTAGAATGGCCACATGCAGGGGGATGTAACCTGGTGGAGAGGCAGAGGGGGTTTGAGGAAGACACAAAAACAGAGAAAACAATTTTATGAGGTCAACCTGGGCTACGGGATGGAAAATGGAAAAACAACATGTCATTTCCATTGACCCGCAAACTTTAATCCGCCACGCTGGAATTCAAAATTTACCCTTCATGCAAAATAAATAACATATTGTTCCAATTCGGTTCAGATCCTTCTGCCAAAATTCTATGCAAATTTGGCAAGGAGGTAAATTTTTAACCACGCAGAGCCGTAGAAGTCAACAACCGACTTTGAAAAGGAGAGTAAAAATCATATTCTAAGAGGGAGGGGGGAAGGAAGAGACATATATTTTGTTAACCCCAAGGCTTCTCATTGTAACAAACCACAACGGGACATCATTTTATGCGTCGTTCGTATGGTGCATTTTTAAAAGAAGTCACTGTTTTGGTGGTTTTATATTTTGATACGCATTTTACATGCGGTTTCTGTGAATTTCATGCATTCACGCTGCACTGTGTTACATCGTAGAGGCAGTTCCCCGACTTACAACCGCAATTGAGCTCCAAATTTCTGTTGCTATGTGAGACACTCGTCAAGTGCCCCGTTTTACGAACTTTCTTGCTACAGTGGTGAAAGGAGTCCCTGCAGTTCTGAAGTTAGCAACACGGCTGTTAAGTGGATCTGACTTCCCTACTGATTTTGACTGCCAGGTCGCAAAAGGGGATCGCGTGACTTAAGAGACATTGCGACGGTCACAACTATGAGACCGTGGTCAGGCATCTGAATTTTGAAACATGGGACCACGTGGATGCTGCCAATGGTCGTTAAGTGTAAAAAAAACTGTCCTAAGTCACTTTTTTCAGTGCTGTTGTAACTCTGAACGGTCACTAAATGGATCGTTGTAAGCCGAGGACTACTTGTGCAAAATAAATAAATAACAGTTAAACAAGGTTGGTTACAAGCCCATCTGTTCATCAACGTATCGTAGAAATTTAACGTAGCTAAATTTATATTTGTGTGAATGTTGAAGGCATGACAGTGATTTTTCCCCTCCGCCCAGCCAAGAGGACTAGAAACTTGTGCTCACAGCTCCGTCTCTCTCCCTGTTTACGACAGACTTCAAAGAAGACGGTTCTACCTATTTCACGGACGCCCGCTTACCATCGTAATTGGCGCGATCCAGTTGGCCCTGGAAACGGTTGCCCTGACTGAGCCTTTGGTTGGCGAGTGGCGCCAGAAGCTGTTCCGCGCAATCCCGCCATCCCTCTCGGCACGCCAAGTGCAGGGCCGTGTGGCCTCCTTTCTCTTGGACGCCTAGCCCGGCTCCTGCCGACACAAGTTTGCCAACAAAGCTGGATGCCCCGAGGATGACGGCGATGTGTAGTGCGGTCTAAAGGAAGAGAAGGAAGGGTGAAACATTTCGCTCGAGACAAATCGACGGCTTTTTAAAACCAACTGGCTGGTTTCGCAGATCCTGGTCCTCGACTTACAACCGGTATCGGAATTTCCATCACTGATGGGAGTCATTCAGTACAGGGAGTCCTCAACATACAACGGTTCATTTAGTGGCCGTTCAAGGTTGCAACGACACAAGTGACTCGTGATGACTGTGATTCACACTTAGCCCTTGGCGTTCTCTTAAAATAAGACTAGCGGACTTCCAACTCCCAGAATTCCCCAGCCAGAATTTCTGGGAATTGAAGTCTGCAAGATTTTTAATTTTATGCTGGCTGGGGAATTCTGGGAGTTGAAGTCCACAAGTCTTCAAGTTGCCAAGGTTGGACACCCTTGTGTAAGAGAACACCAAAACTATTATTTGTTTAGCAAAATTGTTGCCCACCCACCCACCCACCCCCCCCCGGCCTAAAAGGCATCCGATCTACTCAAAATCTACAATCCTCCTTG